AATTAACATTCCTGTTAGTAAAAAGTGGTCAGTGACAGAAAAAATTGTTAAAGATGTTAAAATTGTAAAAGTGAAAGAAATACTTTTCAGGTAAGCCATATTTCTATACTATATTGAATTTGTGAGATTATATCATGATATTATTTGTAACTATAATAGCTTACAAATTTTGTATTTAATATTGCAGCCATGGGACCACCAAAGAAATTTAAAAAATATGATTCAAAACCCAGCGGTGAAAGATCAGGTATATCAAGATTTGAAAATTGAAATTAACATTTTGTAATGGGTCAACAATAATCTGCTGAATTGTGCTGTTAATGTAAGTAAACAAAAATAATAGTATTGTACTTTAACAATCAGGAAAGAAAAAGAAGGTGGAAGAAGATATCACAATAGACTTGGTAGATGATGATAATACAGATAATGTAGGAGTCCCTGTTGCTGCAACACAGGATGCAGAGAAGAATGACCAGGTTCCCGAAGATGAGTTTGGTGCAAAAGATTACAGGTAATTTTATTTCTAAATTAAAGATATGTTATATTAGTTATTTTAGGGAATATTGGTGTTTAATTGAACATAATGCTTAACATCTCACAAGACATGAGAAACCAACAAGATCCCTGAATGAAAGATCATTGCTTTATTATTATTTTGTAAATAGTTGGTTAAAGGAAATATGTAATATTGTAACTTTTCTTGTTATGTAGGAGTCAGATGACATTAAAACCAGACAACACCAGTCGTCCTCTCTGGGTTGCCCCAAATGGCCACATATTTCTGGAAGCCTTTTCACCAGTTTATAAACATGCACATGACTTCTTGATTGCTATTGCAGAACCTGTTTGCAGGTATGTTTCCAACCATTTACTTATAAATCCTAATTAATTATAATCAACACTAAGATGGTGTTTTAATAATCATTTGACCATACTAAGAAGCTAGTTTTATATGTGGTGTATTATTCGTCTGCGCGGGATTAAAAATAGATGTTGGCCGATTCTCAGACCTACTCAATATGCTCAAAAAAATTTCAAGAGATTCGGTCAAGCAGTTTCGCAGGGGTATGGGAACGAAAATTGTGACACAAGAATTTTATATATAAGATAATCACTAGCTGTTGCCTGCGATTCTGTTCGCACAGAATAAAAAAAAAATAACTTATGTGTTCTTCCAGACTATATTCTATATGTATGCCCAATTTCATCGTGATACTTTCAGCAGTTCTGGAGATACCTTCAAACTTTCATCAATCCTTCCACCTAAACATTCGCATTAATAAGAAGTAAGATTGTTTTAATATTTTAATTACTTGGGATACAATTAATTCATACTTTCAGACCTCAACACATACATGAGTACAAGTTAACAGCCTACAGTTTGTATGCTGCAGTATCAGTGGGCTTGCAGACTATGGACATTATTGAATACCTACAAAGACTGAGCAAATGTTCTGTTCCCGCGGGCATTATTGAGTTTATTCAACTTTGCACATTATCATATGGAAAAGTTAAACTTGTATTGAAGCACAATAGGTTAGTTTTTCATCTGATTTATTTAGTAATTTTATAATGGTGCTAATATTGTCAACACTTTTTTATTGATGTTCATGTTTGTAGGTATTTAGTAGAAAGTAAGCATGTAGAGGTGCTGCAAAAATTACTGAAGGACCCGGTGATTCAGCAGTGCCGGTTGCGGCGCGACGGTGACGACGATCTGTTTGCCTCCGCGGTGCCCAACAAGCCCAACACAGCCACTGCTTCGAAGCCAGGTTATTATTCTAATGTAGTCTTCTAGAATAAGAAATTATATTTATTCATTTCAGTGGCTGATTATTATATTGGCTATAATTGTTTTGTTATTAAGTCTGTGGTTACAGCTGTATAAAGTTAAAATTGTTTAGATAGGTTTGACAAAAAAGGTGTATTTAATATTTATGTTTTTATTATTTGCAGTGGAAGAGAAACCACTGTCAAATGACACAGTGCCGGAAGACATCAGCCAGTTCTACCAGCAGCTGGACAAGGACGATGAGGAGGACGAGGCTACCGACTTGGCGACCAACACCGCCGTCGCCTTTGAAGTTGACCCTGATAAAATTGAGGTATGACCGATATATTTTAAGGTGTAATTTAACTAAGCGTAAATACTTTTAACTCAGTTTACTCTTACTTTAACTATTTAATATTTTGTCTGGAAGAACACATAGACTGGCTCTTAGTGCAGATAAATTATACTTTTTCGGATGAATACCGTGTTATATGGATTAGCTTAATTGCGCACAGTCACACAAAATAATGTATGTTTGTATGCAGGTGATACAAAAGCGTTGTATAGAGCTGGAGCACCCGCTGCTGGCTGAGTACGACTTCCGCAACGACAGCGTCAACCCCGACATCAACATTGACCTCAAGCCCACAGCGGTGCTGAGACCATACCAGGAGAAGAGCCTGCGGAAGATGTTCGGCAACGGACGAGCTAGGTACATATCTTCATGCTTTAAATAACATGACATATTGAAGATTATAATAAGTAAAGATAGTTTAAGTAGTGCTATTAAAAAGAAATAAAGGGCAAATTTGTAGAGTACGGTAAATCAGACACTCTGTGGCAGCTTTAAAATTTTGTTTTCTAAATAGTTTCGTAAATTTTCATAAAAGTTTTTTAAGAAAGATAAAAATAAAAAATGCGGAGAAAGTCCCTGATCTCACATGCTAGGGATGAAAAAAAAAGACAAGATTAAACGGTGCGGTGTCGCAGGTCCGGAGTGATAGTGCTGCCGTGCGGCGCGGGCAAGTCGCTGGTGGGGGTGACGGCGGTGTGCACGGTGCGCAAGCGCGCCCTCGTCCTCTGCAACTCCGGCGTCTCCGTCGAGCAGTGGAAGCAGCAGTTCAAGTGCTGGTCCACCGCCGACGACAGCATGATATGCAGGTACCCTCACGCACACCTAGAGCATCCACCAAGTCTCATCATCACTTAATTCTGTACTACAAATTACTTGTACGCTCTTTTATCATGTTATTGCTTCTGCGTATCTCTCACGCGTAATTGTTGAACAGATTGAATGGTAGACTTGAAATGTAATAATAAAAGACACTACAATTTAGATTCACATCGGAGGCGAAGGACAAGCCGATGGGCGCGGGCATCCTGATCACGACGTACAACATGATAACGCACGGGCAGCGGCGCTCCTGGGAGGCGGAGCAGACGATGAAGTGGCTGCAGGCGCAGGAGTGGGGCCTGGTGGTGCTGGACGAGGTGCACACCATCCCCGCCAAGATGTTTCGTCGAGTGCTCACCATAGTGCACTCGCACGCCAAGCTCGGTGAGACACACTTAGTATCCGCATTTAATTTGATAAATATCTGTCGGTCTTTCAGTGTGAGTAGCGTGACTGAGTACTAATGAGGTAAGTTTGTCAGGTCTGACGGCGACGCTGCTGCGCGAGGACGATAAGATCGCGGACCTGAACTTCCTGATCGGGCCGAAGCTGTACGAGGCCAACTGGCTGGAGCTGCAGGCGGCGGGGTACATCGCGCGCGTGCAGTGCGCAGAGGTCTGGTGCCCCATGACGCCAGAGTTCTACCGCGAGTACCTCATACAGAAGTCAGTCCCCTCTACTACTCTTACCTGTGCTTATAATTTTTATTCTTGCCAATGGCTTATTTAGGTTGTTTTGTCTTATGAAATAATTATTCATTATGCAAAAATATTTTCAGAATAAACAAGAAGATGTTACTGTATGTAATGAACCCATCAAAGTTCCGGGCGTGTCAGTTCCTGGTGAAGTACCACGAGAAGCGCGGCGACAAGACGATCGTGTTCTCCGACAACGTGTTCGCGCTGCGACACTACGCCGTCAAGATGAACAAACCGTACATCTACGGGCCGACGTCGCAGAGCGAGCGGATACAGATCCTGCAGAACTTCAAGTTCAACCCCAAAGTGAACACGATCTTTGTGAGCAAGGTCGCCGACACCAGCTTCGACTTGCCCGAGGCCAACGTGCTCATACAGATCTCCTCTCACGGTGGCTCTCGTCGCCAGGAAGCTCAGAGATTGGGTACGCCCCTTTTTGTACAACTAGAAACACTCCTTAACTTTGTTTGGGAGACAGAAAAAAAAGGAGTCTGAATGTTTTTGTGATTTTTTTAAATCTATTTAGTATGTACCTACTACTACTATTGTATGTAGAACAAATATTAAAGTATAATCATGTGTTGCAGGTCGTATTCTGCGTGCTAAGAAAGGCGCGCTGGCGGAGGAGTACAACGCGTTCTTCTATACGCTGGTGTCGCAGGACACGCTGGAGATGGCCTACAGCCGCAAGAGACAGCGCTTCCTCGTCAACCAGGGATACAGCTACAAGGTCATCACCACTAGCACCACTGCATCATTGCTATACACATCTACTAACTCTAGGAGTCTAACAATATTTGTTACTTGTTTTGTGTGTTTTATAACATTAAAATATTGGTTACCAGGTCATAACAGAGTTAAAAGGCATGGACACGGAGCCTGAGCTGTTCTACGGCACGCGCGAGGAGCAGGGCATGTTGCTGCAGCAGGTCAGACTTTACAGGGCTATATAATTTTCCATAGCTAATTAATGTTTTTTGCATATAAGCAATTAAAACTAAGATATTGCATGTAAATGTTGACAAGGGTGGCTTTACCGCTATGAGCCGGGCAATAGGACAGGAGAGGTTCACTAAAATCAATATTGAATAGATGTTTGATGTTGTGTGTATGTGTATGCGCGTGCAGGTGTTGGCGGCGTCAGAGAGCGAGTGCGAGGAGGAGCGCGAGGCGGGCGGCGCGGGCGCACGTCGCGGCGCCGGCAGCCTGGCCTCGCTCGCCGGCGCAGACGACGCCCTCTACCTCGAGCACCGCCGCCAGCACAACAAGCACCCGCTCTTCAAGAAGTTCCGATACTAACATCACCTCCCGCACCATCAATACAAGTACGCATTTCACTAATCTGTTAGCGCTTCCAAGTGCAAGTATTCTCAGCATTTGGTGAAAGTTTAAGATTATAAGCATTGTCTCCATTTAATTTTTATTCTCCATCGTATATTTTTATTGTAAACTACATATATTTTAAATATATTCTTTGTTTCAGATATTTTTAATTGATTTACTTACCAACGACAAGACAAAAACGAATGTTTTTATGCTGCCTATATTGTTACTACTTGTAATGTAAAAAAATGTCATAAATACATTAATTGTTTGTTAACATGTTTTTTAATTTAATTTCTGTTAACAGTTGTGTGGAAGTTGTCCACGGTCCACGCGATTTAAAATCCTGTAATACGCGCACTAACGACATTTATTTCCGCTGTGTATTGATTGTGATTGAGTCAAAATACGAATAGCATTATTGATGACAGTCGAAGTTTCACTTTTATTTTTATTCCAGTGAATCAGAAAGTGCAAGCGGTGTGCCTGAATGGGCTATCGTTGAGCTGCAGGGGCTAGTACAGATGAAGAAAGAGGCAACAGCGGGGCCCACAGTGATCGGCGACCTTCACTACTACCAGAGGAACCGCCATCCAGTCTTGGTGCTCGGACATCACATACTCAATGGCAAAGAAGTTAAATTAGAACAACCAATGGCAGTTATTGAGAAAGTTGATATTGACGGAAAGTTGGAATATAAAATTAAAGCTATCGTCAAAAAGAAATTACTATTCAAATCCAGACCCAAGCCGATCATATCTCATGTATCTGATAAAATTTGATTAAATTGTTTATTATGAGTATGTATTTTATGTTCTGACCGCCGATGTTTATACTGTAATGTTGGTATGGAATGTACATGTCTTGACTATGAAATAACTCTGGACCTATAACTCTCGTAATATAAGCATTATAGTTCTGTCTTTGTTATGTTCAAAGAAAAAAAGCGGGATAGCAATAGGGAAACACATATTACCAATCTCTTGTGATAAACCTTTAAAAAAGCAGTACAGATTATAGATTTTCTTCGAGTGTTTTATCACAGCGCGATCAAATAAATTATTCGAACAATTTTATTAGAAATACATTTATTTAAGTGATATATATTTGGGTATGTACACATTAACACTTATCCCAGACGAACATGCAAAAATAAAATCTTCAACGAAGAACAATGTTCCGAACGAAGCTTGTATTTATCCAGTTTCATGTCATTAACAGTTCTGTAAATACAAATCGATTTTAATATATTTTCTATATTCTTTTAACATCAAAAATATTTAAATTTCAATAATTCCTATTACATGTCCCATACAACGTACAATGAAATACATTTGTATCATTTAGAATGATATATTTTTGTTTATTCCTATTCTAAAAAACCGTATCACCGTGATTTTAATTCTGTAAATCATAGAAAAATCATAAAAAAACTGATAATTTTAAAAACAAAAAACTATTCGGTATGGGATTTAAATACGTTTTAATATAAAACAAAAGTTCATTTAACTTTTCTGATTGTTTTGTTAAAATAAAGACTTGTGGGATTCCAATGTTACTTTGGTCGATTTTTTTCTGGCAACATTGAGAAGCGTGCTAATAAAAGTACGAATTATTCTAATTATTAAAAGTATTTACCTAAATTAAATTATGTCAAAAAATTAAAAGAAAAGGAAAAGTTACTTTTTCTTATTGGCCTTAAAATATTGCCTCGCAAAAAAAAGTTGTGCAAAAAGAGGTTACAAATCACATTATCCTTATTCTTATAATTTACAAGTTTATATAGATATTGGTTCTTTTATTTAGCATTAAATTGGACCTAAATGAACAAAGTAAAAACCTAGAAAATAAAAGTAAATTTCAAACCATGTATTATAATTACGCAAGGCACTTTATTTTTCAAGAAACAGAAAAAGAAATAAATTAATGCTATACTTAAAAGTAACTATAATTAAACAAAATTAATTGTTAAATCTATGAAAGAAATATAATAATTTGAATGAAGATTTCGTCGATTTCATACAGAAAAGGAATGGATTGCACTAAACGTATGTTTCGAATGTATTTAAAAAGAAATGACAAACATTGAATACAGAACTTTGGCTGAATAATATACACTAACATTACATTGTTGTATAAACTCATAAACATTAACATCTAAAACAAATAAACAATTTCATCTACAACATAACACAACATAATCTAAGTCTTAAAACTAACTCCCAGTTCAAACATTCAAAACCACTTCCAAATTTTTAAGTGTTCTGACAATTTTATGTTTGTAAACAATCATTTATAATAATAAATTAGTCTCAATATCTTCGATAAAAAGAAAACTTAATAGTTTTTTTCATATTAAGAAATTTAGTAACTAATTTTGTAGATTTATAATTAACCCAATCATCCAAATATAATAAAATCATTCAAACACCTAATATATCGATTATAACAATATCGATTACAAAAATTATTTGCTGTTTCGATAACAATTGATTTTTATTTAAGTGATATTTTGATATAAATCATTAAACAATGATAGAATATTCTTTAAATATTTATTTTTACATATACCTTTATGTAGATGACAAAAGATAAAACCATTAAAATCGATATTAACAATAAATATCGATTTTTTTCTCTATTATTAAAATTTAAGTATCCACAGCTTCACCAACACAACCAGATTAAGGTCACATTGTTACATGATTTTCAAATAATTAGAATATTATTATTTTTTATGGACCAAAAATTATATCATATTTGTATATATAATATATTATTCATCGTCTGTTTGATGTTATTATTAAATATTTATGTATCCAATCCATTATATACAGATGAAGCGTGCGTAGTGTGGTGAAGCCAAACTGATACTGAGAAGTGATACAGACAAAAAAGTTCAAATATAAACTATGATCCTGACATAGATGTATTAATCTAGTTTGAATATAAGTTTAAATATATCAACGGACATTTCACGAAGTAAACTAATCGAGAGACACAATAGATATAAGATTCGCTAAGGCGTCGACAAGGTCATATAAGTTCAAAGTTACACATTGGCGTGGTCAGCTCTCAACAGCTCCTGACCCTCGACGGAGGTCCAGTAGTCAACGAGGAGGTCGCGCTCCGTCTCCAGGCAGCTCAGGAATGTCGACATATTCTCACCACTCTTGCGGATACCCAGCAACTGTTTCTTCAACTGAACATTCTGTAAACATAAATAACATACGTGAGGTAGAGAAATAATTAAAGATTTCTTAATTTAAGCTATATTTATATTATATAATTAATCTCCTTTTCATTAAGTTTAATAACCTGAAAAATATGTTCTTTTGGCTTAATTAACCTGCCTGTCCCCAATTGGAAGTACAGATTAAAAATTATCATTTAAATAGAAGCTAAATTATACCGCAGAAAATTCTGGCTACAAATGAGTTTATTACTATTACACTTATTTATCCAAGTTCAAATACTTGATTTTAACCAAAAAAACTAAAATAAAGTATCTTTGTTGGCAAAACATTTTTTTAAATTGTTTGCATTATGTTTTTTTTTATAATAAATATTATTACATTATTATTTATTTCTGCTGATAAGTAACTTGAGCAACCAACTCGTTGAATCACATTGTTTTTACAACACATATGAGTTCAATTTTACATTACACAAGGACGAGGTAATCCAAACAAGATGCAGATATACTACTTATATATACTTACTATAAATATTAAAAAATAACCTTTAAGATTTCACATTACATTTGTAAGGATATAAGAGTTGCCGAGAACAACATGTATTGCGGTATCTTATCGATTTAGGTCGCGACCCATTTGAACTGAACACACTATACAAGTATAATTACGAGAATGCGCTCAGCATTGCTCGTGTGGACATTTCACATATTTCTATTCATTACATTATGTACTTTAACACTAAGTGACGACACCGACGAACCTATTTTGTATTACTATGGCTTAGTAAGTTGATACATATATAAATATTTTAAAACTTAACTGCATTGTATAAATTAACACTGAGATAACAAATCTCAAATTGTACACATTTTCACTTATTTAGTGTAGTAATAAAAACATTAAATGTATATATCTATTACTACCTATCTACAACGACCTATCGGGGTCACAAAGACGAATTTCCATTTGAATAGTACAAGCTACAAGCTTCTTTCAAAATTTCAATTGTTATTACATTCATGTTTGTTAGTCATTGTTATTCTTTACAAGTATTTTTGTGTGTGTTATGTGTGTAGGAGGAGAGCGAGCGTGGTCTGGGAGCGTGTGGTGTGCGGCAGGCGTGCTCGGCGCTGCTGCTGCGACACTGGCGCGCGCCTGCGCTGTTGCGGCTATGCCGCTGCCCACGCAGGCAGCGCTGCGACACGCGCGCACCCAGCGACCGACTGGTTGAGCTCAACAATAGAGCTTACTTCCAGGTAAACTTTCAAATACTAGGCTATCACGCATCAAATTTTTTCATAGACTGCTTATGATCAATTTACAATTTTTTCGATAATTTACAATTAACATGGATTTAATTATATTATAAATTTATTGTTATCTAATTCCAGTTCTGCACACCGGTAACTAAATGGCCTGAGTGTACTCTGTCCGACACACCACTCATCGTCGATACGCAGTACGACCGGATGAACCCGGACGAAATCGAGGCGATGCACCATCAAAACGTTGCCCTAGTGCCACCGAACGTCACTCTCAACTGTCTGTGTCGGTATCCTAACTATTGGCGTTGGAATTCGACACAGGGCAGTATATCGAAATACCAATGTGGCTCGATGCCGCTTTGTAAGTCGGGAGACTTCTGCGGCAACGTGAACTACGAGCTGAACGCGCTGTACCAGTGGTGCCTGTGTCCGCGGCAGCACATGTGCGCGCACGGCGGCGGCGTCACCCGCCTCTACATATCTGAGTTGCTGTACCGGGGCCGCGGCTGGCGAGCATATTGCCAACCAATATACCAAGAATACGACTACTACTACGACGAAAACTAGTCACAAATGTTTGTTTTTTTTGAAAAATTTCTTACAAGCAGAATGTTTAGATTACTCTGTTATTAAATGCTTAAAAAGTGACGAGTTAATTTTTTAATGTTCTTAGTACCGTTAAAGATATATTTAAAACATTGGTTTCATATTTCATAAGTCAGTTAATTCTTAGTTTTTATAACGTACGGTTCGTACGAATTTATGAGGAAGTTTAAGCAAGTATAAGAAGCTTTACCGGAGCAGGTTGTAAGGCGATGTCTTTGACGATGTTGCGCAGCTGGTCGGAGAAGCGGTCCGGCCACAAGCAGCGGCTCACCAGCCCGCCCTGCTGCGCCTCCGATGCACTTATCCGACGCCCAAACACCACCAGATCATTTATCTATTAAAATATTACATTTTAATTCATAACATATTAAGAGAAACACAAGCCTGTTTAAAATCTCTAAAGACGACCGAATATGTAAGGATGGAAGAGCGTTAGGATTAAGATGAATTTTGGAATATTATGTTATATAATAAAAAGATAAATTGAAAATATTGAATAGAATTATTAGAAATAAGGAGAAAAGCACGCACTGTTACAAGAATATATTTACAACAACTAACGGTTTTAAAAATAAAGAAAAAGGAAGAAAAAACATATACAGTTCTAAATTCAAAAATAACAATTAAGAATAAAAAAGTGTAAAAAGTTCCGTATCTGTCGGCAACAATCTCACTCTGCTTTAAATCTTATAAAACTGCTGCAATGGATGTACAAAAAACATACATATTTTAGAATTAATGGTATTACAATTAAATCAAACTAACCAATTTTTTTTTTCAATAAATACTTTAATATTCTTTCAAACTGTTGTAATATGTCGCAAAAACCTATCAGTTGTCTGCCTGTTTTTTAAGACTAACACAGTATTTTAAATACTTACTAATGATTGTGGCAATGAGTTACATCGCGCAGTGATTGCGGCAAGACCGGGCAGCATGGTAACATGCTGCGGGGACTCAGCCAGCGAGAAGGTGGCGGTGTCTGCAGCCAGTGCTAGGTCGCTGCAGGCTAGCAGGCCCAAGCCTACGCCCCAGCACGCGCCCCACACACCCGCACACACCAGTTTGCTGTGCTGCTCCACTGCACTCAGCAGCGACCTACAATGTCACATACATAAAATGTTAAACTAGCAAACTTAAATGCATAATTTTGTTCGGAATAAGTTAAAAATAATAAGTGTTTAGGTCTCTGTTGTTACAGCAATGATTCTATCTTAATTATGATGTGAAACAATTTAGTTATGGAAGAAATGAAATAAACATAAACTTACCTAATAGAGTCAGCTATTTCAAATGCATTTTTGGCTCTTGTTTTGTCATCATCATGTAGCAAAGGTCTGATGTCCAGTGAGGAGCACAGAGTGCCACACTGGGATGTCAGCAATGTCACTGATATGTCATTCCTTGCATCAACATAGTGCAAGACTTGCTCCAATTCCTTAATGACCTGAAATTTTAGTTACTACATTAGATATGGTATTTATTATTTTGCCAAATACTACTTAGCTTCCTCATCAAGGCTAGAATTTGTTCTAACCTTATCTTTTAAAGTATTTTAAAAATTTTGAATTTAATTCTTTTGATTTCAAATTGCAATAAATTGTATTAACTTTTTAAAAAGTAAGATTATGAATATTTGCTATTTAAATGTGTATTATAAGCTTACCTCTACATTATAAGTGAAGTCACAATGTATATCTATTTCCGCTAATCTGAATCCAATATTTAAAGTCAAATATTTAAATTTCCTTTCATCATCGTGTGGTACCAATTCTTTCATTCTCTTTTGTTTAGGAGGTTTATCAATTTTGCTACTCTCCCTTTTTCTTTTATTCAAAGCTAGGGAGAGTTTGGAGTTGAGCTTTTCTTTTATGGATATACAATCATCCCTGTTAATAATTTCACTATTATTTACAAGTACTGAATCAGACATGAAACCTTCTGTTGGTTGATTTGTCAGATCATCACCTTCTGTAGTTTTATTTACTTTATGTTCTTGAACTGCTTTTACATTGTTTTGCGGTCCACTAGATTCTACGTCGCTAAGCCTTCGAGGACTCATACATGTGCTAGAATATGAACTAGACGAATGACGCCGATAGATGATTGAGTCGTCAGCACTATGTGTCTCAAAGTCTTCACACACAGGTGACTTAACAGAACTGCTCAGTGATGTTCTGTGTTTCCCACTTATAATTTTCTTTGGATCACTCTCATCATATTTAGATGAATCTTTCTTTCGCTCTCGGAACTTCATTTCCTTACTGTCCGGTGTAGAACTTTGAAGCTTTTTTATAAATTCCGCTTTAGTTTTTACATTCTTTTTACCCTTTGGTGCTTCAGGTGTGAGCTGATATATCATATTGACTGCACCCTCATCCATTAAAAGCTTATCAACCTCTGTTAACCTCTTATTTTGTTTTACATTTTTAGGTGATGGCTTTTTCCACTGCAACTTATTAGATATAGGAGATTTTGATTTAGATCTCAAAGATGATGCTTCAGTCTTGATTTTCTTGTTAGGTGAAAATTCTTTTTCCACTTCACTATTCTTAGTCACCGATTTACCTTTTGTAAAAGTATCTGGGTTATCTGGATCGAAAATTACTTTCTTTTTGATTATTCTCCCAAGTCTTCTTTGGGGCTGACCCTCATCTCCACTTTTATTGGATTTCTGGCTATGATCTTCACTAGCAGCTGAATCAACAGAAGTTCTAAGCAATTCTTCTTTATTAATCACTGCTGGTTCTATTTTATTTTCATCAGATTCTGTTTTATCAACTAACTTAACAGGTTTATCAATTTCGGAAGTTTCCTCATCATCCCAGTCTTGTACTAATACATTAATAATATTTTCAGTTTTTTTCTGTTCCTTCTTTTCACTCTTTTTTGGCTTTTGCATTCGTTCTAAACGGGTCCTCTTTTTACCATATTTTAGTCTTGAAAGTTGTTGCAATGCTAGCTGAGCTTCCCTCGACTTTGCATTTACTGTGGTGGTCTCCATTTCTTCTATAACTTCATTTTCTGGAGCTTCAGCATCTTTACCTTGTAGTATATCCAATAATTCCTCTTTGTTGAAAACTTCTTGACGACCAGTACAATTATTATTTTCCACATTATCCGTCACATCAGATGACCGTAAAACTTCACTCAATTCAATACTCTGCCCAAACTCACTCAAAATATTTTTTGCCGCTTGTTCATCAGAATTTGTCTCATTCAAATTATTTTCTTTGACATCATTACTTTCCACTTCAACTAATATTTCAGTCTTAAATCTAACACCATCCTTATAAGACAATTCTTCATGATTAATGTCAACTGGTGTTTCTTCTTCACTTATTTCTTGTATCACTACTGTTTCTTCAGTGCCCACCTCACCTGATGGTTCTTCATCAGGGACTTCAACTACTGGTGCTGCTGCAATCTCAATTTCTTCATAAACAGTTTTGACTAAACTGTCAATTTCCGTATTCGACTCTGCGCTGTCCTTCGATGGTTTCTCTTGGCTAATTGCAGACTCACTTACGGGTTCTGTATTATTGTCCGGGAGCGTGGGTTCATCGGTTGTCGTCGGAGTTTCACTTGTCGGTTCAGATTGTACAGAATTTTCTTCCTTCTCGTTACTCAGCTGCGTGACAACTGTTTCTGTGGTGTTCTGTTCTGAATCTTTTTTTTCTGAATCTTCAGCTTCGGCCGGTTCAGCAACATCACTCTCCACGACTCCATTAGGTTTATGACATACGTCCTTTTCTATACACTCAGTTGAAGTGTTTTCTGTTTCAGCATTGGTTATCACATCATTAATTAAAGTATTCACCACAGGAGGCTCTTCTATTACTTCCATTTTGTCACTTATAAGAAATTATATTTGTAAATAGTACCCTACACTGTTTATAGTTAAACTTAAAACAGGCTAACCTATTATGTTGACAAATAAATGAAATAAAGCAATTCTTAATGCAACACAAAAATGACTCTACCGTTACATTATTATTGTATTACATTTATTTTTGAATCTATTAATCTAACGCAGTGAAATAACATGGATTTTAATAATCTAGCAAGCTATTCACTTCGTCCACTTAAGATTTTTTTCAATGCGTCGTCGTCCATTTCAACGAAAAATGTTGCCACAAGCCACATGTATAAAAAGATCAAAAAACTTCTTTTAAAATAAGACTTTATTGTCAAATGTTTATTTAAAAATTAAAATGTAGGTATGTTAATCAAAAAGGTATAATGTAATTTTTCACTTACCTTTCTCTTGATTTCTGCTTTCAAAAACCTTGATCAAATTAATATAAGTGCTCTGTAATCCATTTATAAAATCATTGTGTAATGGAGTTTTTTTTTGTTTGTCGCTATGACATATGTCATTATTATTATCAGCACAGTAATTTCAAAGGAGAGCTTTGGCGATATCATTGTAAATACGACGGGGTCCATTATTAATTAAAAGAAGAAAAAGTAGTAACTTGAGCCTACTGAACAAAACGAAACGTTCAACTTTAATCACAATTTTCTGGCGTTCGTGTTAATAAACATTGATTTTTAAAATGAATATTCTTCCAAAGAAAAGGCAAGTAAAGTTTTTATTTATGTGTCTACATTTAATTGGCATGCATTAAAATAAGTTATGAGAACGTACGCCTAATGTAAGAAAAAGCCAATACAAAACCGAAAAGTTTTAAGCAAGTAAGCAAATTGTATTGAAAATAATCGTACATAGAGTTAGGTTGTCTATCTCGGTTGTATATAATACTTTGTAATATGTATATATTATTAATGTATCTTTGCAGATGGCATGTGAGGACGAAAGAAAACATAGCAAGGGTAAGGAAAGATGAAGCTGAAGCAGCTGAAAAAGAAAGGCAAGAGAGATTACGTATAGAGATTGCCAATAAAGAAGCCCGTCTTCATGTCTTGAAACAAAAAAGTAAACAAAAGTTACAAGATTTAGATGTCAAATTATGTGAAAAAGATCCTACAGTTGCTAAACCTGACCATATTAATTTATTTGAAGATTTAGAGCATTCAGTATCTACAACTAATAAAGATCATGACTTGGAAGCAAAAGAAAAGAAGGAAGAATATGAAAAAAAGATTGGTTATTTGACATATCTCGGGCAAGATACCAATGAAGCTCAAAAAAAGAAAAACTGGTATGAAGTGCCACCAGAGTCATCTAGGTATGCACGGTCTACTGAAATAAAGGATACATATGAAAAACTTGTTTTGAAAGACCCTGATGGTAAACCAAAAGAAAAAGAATTAGACATAAAAAATGGTGAGGTTTGCTGGAAAGCCAAACAGAAATTAGATCCCATGAATGCTTTTAAGTCATTTTGCTCACAAAACAAAGCTAATAATGAAAGTAGTGCAAAAGAAGCCAGCTCCAAAAATTCTAATCAAATATTAAGTAAACTTAAACGTAAAAACAATAACATAAACGAGAAAGAAGAAAAGCTTAAAAAATTAAGAGAAGCAAGGTTAAAGAGGGAACAGCAAGAAAAATACAGAACTGAAATGTTCTTGAAGAAACTTGGTGGAGCGGAATCACCAATCGATGAACAACCAAAATTACCTAAAGTAACACCTAAATACAATTCCCAATTTAACCCTGAATTAGCTAGACAAAATTATAGATAGTATAAACATATCAACTATATGTTTTGTCTACAACAATGAAACTGTGCTTTTGAATAACTCTACCTATAATCAAGCAGGAATGTGGTAATTAATAGAAATTGTGCATTGTGTTGTTGAATCTAAACTTTTGCAATCCACAACTTTGTCACTATTTCTGAGATTACCTAGAACAAAGGTGGATTTCATTGATTTTATTCAAATAGTCATCCCTTACATACGGTAGGCTCCGAGCCTCTCCTTGGGGACTTATAGTGAGCTGATAATGATGGTTCAAATTGATCAAGTATCCAAAATGTTGTCCTAATCCATTGAAATAATCACAACAGAGATAATGTTATATTTATTAAATTAAGTTTAAATGATTTTTTTCACAGTTATATTATAAATTTTAACAATATTTATATAACAAATTATATTTAGTAAGGTATAAGCTGTGTTTAATATATTCTTTATAACTTAACATGTACATTGTTTAGCATTGCTAATGGCAACTTATCTTCCATCTTCTCGAATTCATAATTGAATGTTTCACAGAACAGTTGCAATATTCTCATGATAAATGCACTTTCTACAGACACTTCTGTGGTCTTTAACCTGCGAAAAATATCTTTATATATACATATACATAATTTGTATCTTTGTTACAATAATATAGCTGGTGATAAAATAATAAAACTCTTTTAAATATTAAATCTATGACTTTTTAGAAATTACATATCAACATTCTAAATGTAAGCCATATCTGGGTTTTTATTTCTATGCATAAATAATAATTGTATTATATTTACTTACTTTGCGAGACTTGAAACTTTAGCGTAGCTGCAAAGAGTATCAATAAATACATCTATACTATCCATTTTGCTTTGTCTTAATAATGTGTAAATACCCACAAGAAGGGGAAAACCGTCAATATTTTCGCCTGGTTTTCTAGTAATAAGATCACCTAAAACATTATCCGTTTTAAAATAATTGGCAAAGAATTTGTTAATAATTTTATAATTCTTCTAATGCCTCTCCATTACAGGTTAGCCGTCAAGCTCAGCGAACCTATCCCTGTTCTGTGCCAAGCGAAAAGTTGGTGAACGCTGGCAATAATTGTCCATTTTGTTAATTAAAAAAGATATTAAAAATAGGAGTCACATTTGGTGAAAAAAGTATGAAATTACCTGTACAGTAGCATATTTGCAGTTTTGATAATTGAGATATGAGAACGATAGCCATTATTCGCCCCATATCCGTGTTTGAAAATTCTTGCGCGTGTTTTATATAGACTTTTTCAGAAGGCGAATTTATTCCACATCTTACAAGATATTCGTCTAAATCGTGAATTAATGATAATGGAATGTTTTGTGGATCACTTTTGCGACTTTTTAATTCGCTAAGTAATGCCCTGAAAAAAATACAAGATTAGTTTTGTCAATACAAAATAATCAAGGAGGTTATGTTGGATTTTGTATATGGTAAAAGAGAGTGGGTAGGCATAAAGGGGAAAAATGAAAAGACGATTTCTAAAAGGGACTTTGGATGTAATGCTGGAAGATTAAGATACACTGAGTATGGAACTTACTCGTTCATTGTCCTTAATGAGGCCTCCAAATGAGCCGAATCGAATTTGCATGTAGTGTTCAGTTGATAAGAGACATGTTTCCGTAGCAATTGCAAACCTCCAATAAGAAGTAATGCATCAGTTATTTGTTGAATTATTTTCGTACATTTCGCTACAACTTGCTCCACTTCTTTTGGATCCAAGTTAACAGAAGCGATCGTAAATTTGTCATGAGGATTTCTGAATAACACTTGAATGTTTTGTAATTGATTTTTAATCATGAACGCATAAAGAATATCTAAACCGTGGAGTCCTACGACACCGATAGCGTCGTTTAACTTAGCAAATGTTTTTGTATTGACGACTTCCTTTTGCGTTTTGACATCATACCATGCGGTACAGATATTTATATACGCAGATACCCTACAAAAAGAATAAACGATTTTATATACAAAAAATTATTCAGTAATGTTTGCGGTACGTTAGTTTTATCACATACCTGGAATCAATAAGATTAGCAACTTGTCGTGCGAGAGATCCCATGAAGCCAGCAGAGGGTCCGTACAATGACACGCCTTTGCGCAAACTAATCTCTTTGTTTACATTATTGTTAATAATCGTAGAAACCTTAAAATAAAGTCATCAATACAACACAGCAATCAGTTCTTTTTTTCTTTAATAAATCATTTTTGATCCAAATTGCTGTAATATATCACAAATAGCGTTTATTTATCAATATTCCTACCTGTTTTTGCCAAATTCTTAAACCGTGAATATTTATATAATCCTGTATATATTCCAAAGATCTTTTATAACCATCCATGCTGTCTGACAGTTTCTGAAGGCGAGTTATTAAATTGTCAGGCTTCTTTCCCTGTGGTTCTAGAAACTCATTGAACTTTTTACTGATGTGAGTGTCGAGTTCCCTCAGTAAACCTTCCTCGAGTAATTCTGCCGGATCAACTCGTATAACACCCACTAATGTTGTTCTCATGTCCAAGATACCTAAAATAAGAACAATATATACTTTAAATTGCATCTTACGCTTATGATAGATTGTAGCCCGCGACTCCGCCCGATCGGAATTAAAAAAAATGAAAAGTAGCCTATGTTCTTCCAGACTATGTTCTACATCTATGCCAAATTTGAGCTATTCCGGAGATACCTTCAAACAAACAAAAGTCCATCCATCCATCTAAACATTCGCATTTATAATATTAGTAAGATAAGTTATTAACCTGTCGTAAATGTTGACGCGGAATGTGTAAGTTTTGCAATTTCCATCCGATGCTCTAACTGAGCGTACTCTCTTAACTTTTCCTTTTCAATTCTAGTTGGTACTTCCTTAATAGTCCATGTTTGCAGATCAATAATTTTTTCTACAATATTAAAAACCATTTCAGGAATAATCTGCAACACTTTTTGAATGTATCTTATCAACTCATTACTGTAATATTGAGAAACTGATACAAGATCTTCGCTTTGGGCTTGATTTATCCTTAGCAGTGGTATTTCCATTGCACTGGCTATTTTAAGAAATAGCGCTCTTAATCTACTTGTAACAACTGGATTCTCTTTTATGCTATTTTGCATATATTTTGTATACAAATCTATAGTACACCACGCATAACTAAAATCTGCGACCGTTTCTAAAGTAACGAGGGAATCTTCTTTCAGAGATGCAAGTCGTATAAGATTACGTAATGAATCTTTTCCTTCGGAAAGAAATTGCAATATTGTTGAAGTACTTTTAATGCCGTGAAACTCTTCTACTTCATCTAATGCTTGAATGAGTTGTGTTACTTTTTTTATAGACTTGCTGGTAAAAGGATCACCCAATGATGACACTTGCTTACCAATATTTTCAATCCATAATTTTAATCGCTCGTTTTGTGATATTTTAGCAAATGGTTTGGAAGATGAAAAAAGTTCTGATAGATTATTTAAGGCTTCTATAGCTAGAGATTTATTAGTTTCCCAGCTTGAATTTTTACTCTCTAAAAGCTTTTGTAGGAATTCTCTAACCTTTAATTCTAATTCTGCTGTAGTTATTAACAATTCTAGAACATTTAGTGGATCATAATTAGTTTCTTTTAGAACTAAATCTCTGAGTTGTTTACCCTTCTTGTTAGTATCGAAAAATATAACATCACTATTGTGTAATATGAGCCATCTTAAAACGTGATTGGAATTTATGATAATATTCAATATTTTACTTATATTATCAAGAACAAAATCATCAGTCAGTGTTCCTTCTTTTAACAACTGTCGCATCTTCGTGATCAACACTTGTACTGAATTTCCTCTTTTGCCAAAAATGTCTTTTACCATTTTATTATTGCAAGTGTTATGCAAAGAATTTTTAGCAGCTTTAAAATTTTCCCAAAAATCTACAAGGTTCAGTGTAACTCCCATATAAACTGGGACAATCCAGTTGCATGGGAAAAATTTATCTGCAATTTCTCGCATTTTGGTTGTGTCATTGTGTAAATAATGTGGGGTAAAAAACAAACAAACAACCAGCATGCTTGCCTGTGTTGCCAGAGCTGAAGCCTGATGCTCAGGTATTGTATATACTGCTAACTGATTATATATATCTTCAGATCTAAGTTTTCCCACTACTTTTTCTACAAACTCAGGGTGAATGGGTACTCTGCTGCAAAATATATATAAATAAATCTGTTTAATATAAATTATTTCTGATAACAGTGACTTTATAATCATTATAAAAATTAATTGCTTCCTACTTACCAAAAAAACTCCACAGGATAATCTGAAGGCTTTTTTAAATGCATTTGGTCATAACCAGTATCACGAAGTAATTTGCAGACATCATCCACATTAGACTGGGACTGGCTTGTGCTGTAGCGATAAAAAGCAACCAGTAACCTCTCTCTTACTTGTCCAGGAATGTATAGATCACATAGCAACAGCATTGAGCCATAGAGGTATAATGATTCACACTACAAATAAAATTATTGATAATAATTATAAAAAAGCTTAACATTATAATATTCATAGTTAACAATCACTTATAATCACTCACCACATCATATGAATCGTGTATATGCATATTAGAAAAAAGGTTTAATCTTACCAAAAGTTGTTTGCCTTCTACATCTTTCATCACAGTATCAATAGTCTGTTGAATAAATGCACCATCATTCAATTGCTCCACAAATGTGTTTAAATCAATGATGTACTGATATATGTTCTCAAATAATAAATAAAACCTTGTTATAAGTTCCAAATACTTTTCTTTGAGATCGTCATCTAAATCTTGAAGTTTCTGAAACATCCGATAACTTAAAAAAAATATTTTAATTTATTTGAATATACCAGACAAAGAATAACTTACTACATTAGTATTGATCTTTTTTTCTTGCTGATCTGAAATCTTAAAATAACTAAAATCCAGGATAACATCTTGATACTTTTGTTGTAGTTCTTTAGAATCCAATCTGTAATAAAACACAAAATAAAATAGTGAGATCCTTTTTATCACATGAAAGTTAGTTAATTTCCTGGCCTTCATTTGTAAATAATTTTATATAAACATGAACTAACAAGTAGATTGTAGGTATATGGTCTTTGAGTCGCAAAACTTCTGCCAATATAGCATTTCCGTGAGATACAAGTTTTAATAAATTTTGGGCACAAGGATTGTCTTCCGCCAGAAACACCCTCATTGTATATAATATGTCTAATTAATTTATAAATTTAAAATCGTCCTTCACTTCGTAAACAAATTATCTCATAATTGGTTGACATGACGATATGACAAGCGACACAGACGGCTATGTTGCCAACCTAAAACTAAAAACCGCTTTCGTTAATTTACAGTAAAAAGTAAAATCGTAAAAACCAAATAAAAACACTGTTTCGTGTTAAAACCGTTTGTTTAATTAAAATTTTACCAGACAACAAAAGTTTTGTTTTTAGTTAAAAAAACGAAAATCATTGTTTAAATGTAAATAAAATGTGTTAAAGACTTTTTGGGACATTTGAATAAATGTGTAAAAAGATGGTTGTACCATAGTAAATTAACATGATAATAGCAACTTTAAAACTACACTCAAAGTCAAACTTACAGATTACAAATATGTCAAAGTCAAACTGTAAAATATAAAATTAGAAAATCAATCGCTGACCGCTGCATGCAGCAGATGGCAACGTTAGTCAGAATATCGAGTAAATGTATTTAGTTATATCGTAATGCTGCGAACAAATGCAGCTGTAGTGCACTTTGTTCACATGGGTCACTTGGCAGTCTGAGAGTACAGCTAAAGTTGATGTCCATCTAATATTTTTTTTAACTTAATAATCTTATTACTGAATGAAACATTTAATTTTAATTGCGATATTTCCATGTGTTGATACAACTTGATCTTAGAAAAAAAAACAAGATGTCTCGTTCTTTGTTAAGTTATGAAACCCTCGTGCACGCTTTAGCAGGGGCTACGGTAAGCATTTTTAATCGACTGCATTATGAATTTCCAAAATAATCTAAATACATACGTTAATATAAAAAGTTTGTTAATAAAAGTAGATTTTGATCCTTTGTCTATGTATACATCCTTTCTTAGATGATAAATCCATAAATATATGTTATACTGGTAACTGATCAAACTTCAAAAACATTCTTGTTTTGTAAAACATCACACAAACTAAGCTCAAGGTTTATTGCCTTGCCTTTGTGATGTTACATCTAAAAAACTCTTTTTGTTTATAAACTCTTGGCATATTTAAATAAACTTGATTTTTTTAGGGGAGTGTTGTAGGCATGACGGTGTTCTATCCACTAGATATACTAAGATCAAGACTTCAAGGTATGAATTAAACTTATACATTATTTTTTTATCAATATGGTGATTGTAATTCAAATGAGGCTTCATATTATTTGCAGTTGATGAATCTGACAAGTTAAAAGGATCGCCATGGGAATTGCTCTTGCGTCTTGCAAATGATGAAGGCATTCTTTCATTATATCGTGGGCTGGCACCTGTTTTGCAATCACTTTCAGTATCAAACTTTGTTTATTTTTATACTTTCCATGCACTACGAAGAGTAACACCAAAAAGTAATTCTGCACTTCAAGATTTAATGTTTGGTATTTTAGCCGGAGTAATTAACGTCCTCATAACTTCTCCTCTTTGGGTTGTAAATACCCGGATGAAGTTAGAGAAAAATAACTATGGCAGTCTTGTTGACGGTTTGTGGGAAGTTTATAAGAAAGAAGGAGTGCGCGGTCTGTGGTCAGGCACAGTGCCATCCTTGCTTTTAGTTTCCAACCCAGCCATCCAGTTTATGGTTTATGAAACAATGAAAAGAAAATTAATGTCTACTGGTAATTTTGATAATCTTACAGCTTTTATTGTTGGTGCATTTGCTAAAGGTGTGGCAACAACTTTAACTTATCCCCTACAACTTGTACAGTCTAGACTGAGGGCTGGTACTAGTATCAAACCCTTATTAAAAGATATTAAATCTAGACCCTCAATAGCATTCCGTGGTCTTGAAGCCAAGCTTTTACAGACTGTGATGACAGCTGCTCTGATGTTTCTCATATATGAAAAGCTTGTCAGATTAGTTCTAGCAATTATGAGAGTAAAAATGGTAAAGAGACAATAAGCTTATCATTTTAAAGTACTTTATAGTTTATCTCATTTACCTTTTTAGCAAAAACTTTTACTTTTTTATCTACCCAGTCTCTAAATAATTATTTATTAAATCAATTCTTAGTATTGTCAAAAACTGCTCCTTATATATTATATGTTCATGCCACTACAATTTTTTCTTACTGTGAACTTGTCATGCAAGTCCTGAACATTATCAAATGCCTGTTGTAGATGTAAGATTTGGGTTTAATTAATTTTCCTTCAAAATATATATGATACTTGATGAAAACATATTTGAGATTGTTTTCTTCACACAAAAACACAAAACAATTATTATTGTTTAAATCAGGAATTCTCAAATGTTCTGTAAAGAAGAATTAATAATATTGTTTTATTATTATCAAAAAATGGTTTGACCAAGAATAATATCGCATTATATGGTGTAATAATTAGTATGATTTAATAAATTTTCCTGAAGGTCTATCTTATGGTGGCATATAATAATATTTACCTTAATGACATAAGTTGTGTGAAGTGACTAATGTTTGCTTTGGACACAAGCTTGTTTTCCTGTACATAGTCACTAATGTATTTTATTTGAACATATTTGTTTAATTTATTACTTGACATGTAAACATGACAAAGTAAGGTTTTATGTTTAGTTTGTGCCTGGTTTTTTTTATTTATTTTTTAAGACTATGTTACTTTGTGTAGTAGAAAATGTTACTATTTAATATTTTATTGTAAAGTTCTTATCTTGTATCTTATTATTTAATTTCTTGGCGGTTCAAGGTCATTTGCGCGCTGTGCAGTGCCCTCCCTCGCTACATCTTCAATTGTGTTCTGTAAAGTCGCACGAATTTTAGACCCGCAAAAATGATAACAAATACACTAAGTTACCATTCCAAAGATGTTTGCCAGTTTTGTAGTTGTAAAGTATTATATTTATAACTTAGAGTTAAACCTTGCAGTTTCACAAAGGGTTGTTTTTTTTATTTATACATTAGATTATATAATTATTAAACTGGACAGGCCATTATTGTTGGAAATATTTTCATAACTTAGAGTAGACTGTGTTTATACAAATATGAATGGTTTATTATCCATACAATGTTTACTTATACTGTGTAAAATGTTATGCTCTTATGTCTTTTGTATTTTTATTAGTGGGTTGCAATTATTTATTAGATTATGTTTGTTGCAAATCGCAATAAAAATTGGGTTAAACAGTATTGTGATTTATATGGTAAATAGGATATTCTCTCTGTATTATTATGACATTATGTTGTATGTAACAAAACCGTGACAAGAAAATACAAAGTAGGTTTATGATTTATTAAATTACAAAAAAAAATACATAGAAAAGTTTTATTTTTCTTACATATTAGTTAACGGAGGTGAACTGGAGTGTAAGTTTTATATTTTCGGATATTCTGACAGCGGCGGCGGTGTATTCTTTCACAAGTAGTTGTAAATCATCATACAACTGAAACAATAATTAACATTGATTATGCTGAATATATAATTGATATACCGATATGATGGGCAAAAACTGGAAAAATACCGACAATGTTGAGTTTATTTGAAAAAATGTGAATATTGTATATGAAAATAGATGAATGGAGAATTAATATTTCATATGCTTACGTAATAATAATTATTATATTATAATTGCTAAAGTTATTAAGTCATCATTATCGATAATATAGTGAATGAATACGGAGCGGTGGTAAATTTGGCAGTGGAGAGGATGTGCATAAAGGTGAAATATTCTAAGGTAGGCAACGTATCTGCAAATGCAGATGGCAAGGAGCAACGATCGCTTCGCTGTTTTGGCGAATTCAATTGGCCGCTTGCTATTTACACATACTAGCTGTCGCCTGCGACTCCGTCCGCGTGGATATATAAATAACTTAATTAGTGTAGCCTACCCATCCATCCTTCCACATCATATTCATCTTAACATTAGCATTTATAATATTAGTAAGTTAAATAAAAAGCAGCTCTTCAAGGCATACATTCGAAAAATAAAAAAAATTATAAATTAGCATCCTATGTCCGGCTCTAAGCTACCTCCTCACCAATTTTCAGCCATATCAGTAAAGCCGTTCTTGAATTATAAATAGTGTAACTAACACAACTTCCTTTTATATATATATATATATATATAGATGGGTGTGTGTGAAACAAGTAATAGAAAATCATGATATTAACGCTTTATAGTTTTTAGATCACCTCATGACTGAAAAAACTTACATAATCAAAGTTACATATAATTTATAATTTGATGGCGAAGTAGTGCCCCCGCCGAGGCGAGTTGAATTGAAATCGTGCTGTGAATACATACTTAAATAACATCCATTATTAAAATCGATTAAATTTATTTATCATATAATATTTTCCAATGTTCTTACGAACTTGTAACATTTTGTATGTTGCTAAATGGAAAAAAACACAGCGGTTTATTATGACGCACAACTATTTATGGATCAGTTATTAACTTTAATCTTAAAAGAATAAGGCGAAAAACCGAGGTTATTTTTTATAAATAATATGTGTATATTAATTTGTTTTTCAGTTTAAAAATATTCAAGACACTAATAAATCTTAATAATATTATAAAGGCGAATGTTTAAATGAATAGATGGATAGATGTTTGAAGGTATCACTGGGACGGCTGAACAGATCTTGATGAAATTTGATTTGAAATTACGATAGCTAGGCTTTAAAACGATAAACCAGGAATAAGTCACATCGCATTAAGTCAAACTGAGGACAAGTCAGAAAGAATGTATGATTTAAATATATGAAAATATTATAATGAATAAATTATAAGCAAATCTACAAATATTTCAAAGTAAATAAGCAATAGAATAGCCTCTTAAGCTATGATAATTGATACGCCCCCCAAAGGTTACCGATATTGAACTGTAGGTAGAAACATGTAACAATGATTGAACAAAACATTTTAAGGAGTTTGTGAATGCATATTGAACCTCATATAAATTTATGTAGACATTTGTACGTAGTTTATATCATGAATATTCTGTTTGTTATCGTAATGAAACGTAATTAAATATGTACGCATATTTAAATTTATTAAAACAGATGTTTTAACATTGCTTCCATAACAAAAAATAAATAGCATTAAGATACTAAAAAGATACTTTTATTGATACAAGTTCAGAAATTCCACTTCGTTTATTTTCATGATTTTAACGTATTAAGTATTTTTAAAAAGAATTGACAATCGAATTTATGTATCTTTGTAAGAAATTGCATAAATCTGTTTGATTTTAAATCGATAACCTTCAACCGAACACAACGTAATTACAAAATTGTAAAAAATAAAGCCGATATACTGACCTTCGATACGAGTTCTTTAAGGCTACATGCACAACAGTGTATGTTGTTCTAGCAAAATGTTTTAAAATTTTGGGTTTTAATGTCGTTTATTAAACTATTTTAATCTGTAATATTTATATTTTTTTTAAATAAATGTTCTATTTGTTACATAAATGTCATACTAGTTGTCGCCCGCGACTCCGTTCGCGCGGAATTAAAAAAAAAAAACTTAATAAGTAGCCTATATGATCTTCCAGTTTTTCATAGTATTAATGTAACAGTAGGATTTGACTACAATGCTATATATATCGTTGTTTCTATTTTGTCAAAGAGAAGGTAAAAAATGGCAAGATGTATCAATTAAAGGATCAGTACAGCAGGTTTATGGTAATACAGACCTCTTTGTATTGTGGTATGTGTGTGTGGGTGTCAAGCTCGGCCAGCAGCAGGTCTGCGAGTGCGAGGGGTGCGGCGCGCGGCTGCTGCGGCGTGCCCGGAGCCAGCGCGTGCAGCGCCTCGCGCAGCGCCCCGCAGCACGCCTCGCCCGCCTCCAGCGCGCGCCCGCCACACAGCAGACTGCGGATACACGTCGCACCACCCACCTCCTACAAACATATACTATTTCTATAACCACATACACTTATAATCTAAAGGGGTAGCTAGAACCGATAGATTTATATTATCTGCAAGCCCCTCACTCCGTTTACATCCATACATCTACGTAAAAATGTTTATATGTTTATTAAATACATTTATTAAACGCTTATTGTTAATTAAGGTTTATTCCTTGCTATATCCCCTTTTAAGCGTCTTAAAATTAACAATTCTTACCATAAACCTAAGTAGGAACCACCTCGGCAGGAACTGTTCGGTGCTGATGGCTCGCTTCGTGACCGCGAGGAGTGTCTCCACATCCGCGTCTTTAAGATGCGGGTACAAATAATCGAAATCGATTGGCTCGTGTCCTAAGAAAGAAGGCAAGAGTTTAATATTTAACCGAGGCAAAGATTCCATACAAAATATAGAAGAAGACATACTCTGTAGAGCTTGTTGTACTGGGTCTATGGATTCCGGATCCTCTGCCCGTAGTTCAGCTGCCAACTCCTCCGGACCAATCACCTACACAAGAGTAAGGAATTATAAAAAGTAGAAATAAAATTAACATTTTTTTTAAATTAATTCCGGGGAGAATTTTTCTTAATTTTACAAGTGTCCATTGTGTAGTTGATGTTAACCTGTACTATGGTATGTTTACCTGCAACGCTGTAGATCTAATATTGGGAACTTGGGCGTCCAGCAAAGTGGTGGGCGTGGCGGTTGCAGTGGGCGTGGCGGCGGGGGCGGGGCGCGCGATGAACGCGTGTTCTGGCCGCGCGAGTCGCAGGCAGGCGAGCGCCGCCGCTAGCCACTTGCGCCGCACGCCCGCACCGCCGCGCTCCGACAAGCAACGTGTCGCACGCTCGTACATTACGGCTGCCGCTATTTACCATTGGAATACAGATATGAATGCCTTGAGAAGTATAGAAACATACACGTATAGAACAAAGCTAATACTAGAAAAATCCGTTATCTCACCTTTTCGGTAATGTTGTCTTGAGATATGCAAGGCGTACAGAAAGTCATAGTATGGGTTGTGGGTGGCGGCGTCGTGCAGCTTGGCGCGCGCCACCGCCGCCCGCTCCGTCTCGGCGGACAGCGCGCTGCACGACACTAGCGCGCCGAGTTGCTTGCGATTTGCTGCGTACAAAATGAATATGAATTACAATTCTATAAAAAAAAGATATGGGTTACTTTTGCACTGTATATTGGTGAGTTTGTGTGTGCAAAATTATGGTATGTAGGTAAGTAATACCGAGCGTGGTGAGGAGATGTGCTGCGGCCGAGTCACGCGCGTGGGGGGCGGGGTTGGCGGCGGCGGCGCTGAGAGCTCGCTCCACACGTCCGCCCGCCAGGTGCCACTTGAACACTAGCCATTGGAACATCGCCTGTAAACAACACCATCTTTATTAAAATGCTGTTTATATATTTTGTATATAAACGCTTCTCATATGCAAACCACATGGCTCACCAAATTTGGATCATCCTTGTCAGCAATACTGATTGCAGTCTCAGCTAGGCGAACCACACAAGCACCCGCATCGTGGATTTCGAATAGCTTGATAACCTGATTGTAACAAAGGGAAATAATGATTTTATTATTGTTGTCCATTAAAGTCTCTGAAGTTTCCTTAGCATTTGAAGTGATATATTTCTAAATGATTGTATGTATGTATCATTACCTTCATGTAATACAACACGAGAGCCTGGTGCTGGGTGAGAGGCGCATCAGCTGCGGCCACCAGGCGCCGCAGGAACGGCTCCGTGCTGACGCCCTTCGCCGCCTTGCAAAACGCCGTGTAAGCCGCCTCCGCCTCCTCCGTGTCCAGCAGCGACAGACCCAAAATGAACTGACCTGGGACACATTAACCTTGATGATGATGATGATTCAGTATGCAGATGGAAATGTCTCTGTATAAATACTTACGAGAACAAGCGTTCCACTCGCACCAAGGTTCCAACATGGAGACGTAGTTCTGTACGAGCCGCGGCTGGTTAACGGAGGCCAGCCACCAACCGAACTCGAAACCTCCGCTTACTGCCCAACTGATATACTATTAAAGAATTTATTAGTTTGAGAATTCGACAATGGCTTGTAGTAATGCCCGAATGCCTTTTTCAAGGCCTGCGTTTGTCGCCTTTGGATTGCGCACTCACTTAGCCTATTTTTTATTAATATCGATGTGTTAGCTTAGTAAAGGATACAGTTGATGTGCGAGGTGGTAGGCCATGAGCGGCAGGGCATGGTGCGCGTCCAGCGGTGCGCGCGCGGCCGCCAGCTGCAGCCGAGCGCGTCTCCCGCCCGCGCCCCCCGCGTACGCCGATACCGCGCTAACGCTCGTGCCCGCCCCACTGCCCAGCGCCACTCCCCGCGCCTCACCGCTCGTGCCCAACGCGCTCAGCTTGAGACGAAATGCCTCCGTCGACCGCGCCGGCCTTTTACATAAAATAATTATGTTATAGATAAATCACGTTTTGATTAGTATAGAATACATTTGAGTGATCGTGTACTTACGTGGTATTTAAAACTGCGGAGCGCAGCCACAGAAGCGCCCGGTAGGCCTGCCAGTGCACGGCGCAGTGCCCCGCGCCCGGCACGCCCCCC